TGTTTTCTGCGAGGTGTCGGTCATGAATACCCAATGTGAGGAGAAGTGATTACTGTGTGTGTGTGTGTGTGTGTGTGTGTGTGTGTGTGTGTGTGTGTGTGTGTGTGTGTGTGTGTATCATTAATTTTAGTGTGAAGACTTGGTTAGGGTTAGGCATGTGTTGGTTATGGTTAAGGTTAGGATAAGTCTCCAGGAAATGCATGTAAGTCAATGTAATGTCCCCTGAAGAGGTGTATGCATGGTATGTGTGTGTGTGTGTGTGTGTGTGTGTGCGTGTGTGTGCGTGCATGTGTGCGTGTGTGATCTCTCACACTCTGCTGCCCTCTGCTGGCTCGTCAGTAGAAGTGCAGCTTCTCTTTATTCTCAGAAAAAACAGACCAATTTAAAAATAGTTACTACATGGACATCAAATAATTACCTTTTATTTCCATTACCAAATAATTCAATATACTTGAAGGCATGGCAAAACTCTCTTTCTGTGATGGGGAAACCACAGGAGTTTTAAAAAAATACCTGAATAGTAGTTAGGAGAACATGTTTATGAAGCCGACAGTCTTGTCAATTATTGCGTATATTTGTGTGTTAACTGGCTCTAGATTATCTTAATACCCTGATGCTCACCTCAGATCAATCACAATGTTTTATTGAACATATAAACAACATGACATAACATGTCAGACACATTTTTGTATATAATATAAACAATTAGTTTGTAAATAAATCACTCTTAAGGGAAGCAACCCTTCTACATAAGCGATTATATTCAAATCAAACCGTATTCATTTAGCCTAATATCACAATAACAGCTTTACTGTGTGTACAGCATGTGACACGACTCGCAGTCAAAAGGAACATCGACCTGAAGAGACCCCCAAATGAACCGAGAACAATGTTAAAAACCTGGTGGAGGATCCCTCTCCCACATTACATACATGGTGTATGTACAGGTCAGAAAACAATACGATTACAACATGAAATATATTTATAACAAATAGAAAAACAGTGGAATACATGCAAGTAGAATACACTAAGATGAGCTCCAAATGAAATAAAACACTGCTTATTGTAATAATAGATCAAAAAGACCAAAGGGATGTTAAAAATCTCCCAGGTGTCAACAAAAAATACTGATATTTAATAATAATAATGCAGATGCTGCATGTACGTGTGTGTTCCTGCAGGGTGAGGGGAGGTCAGCTGAGGTCACATGATCACACTCTGCTGCCCTCCTGTGGCCGGTCCTCACAGTGAGGAAACACTGAGGGAGAATTATACACATTACATGTTACTTGTTAGACGCTTTTATCCAAAGCGACTTACAGACTCAACACTGAGGGCAACCCCCACAGGAGCAGTTTGGGGTGAAGTGTCTCAGGGACACAACGACATGCTGACTGCAGTGGGTTTGAACCTGTGCTCCCCTGATTTGAAGTCCAGCACACTTCCCACTGAGCCACAGCCACTATACATATATATCTATATAGGTCAGAATATTGTACTAATCCCACATAATGACAGAGGCTCCTTTCAAAAAAATATATTTATATGAATATAAGAATTTAAAGTGAAAATGTGCAATAAAAGATAACATTTAATATTTATTTTTGTATTTAAATATAAAATTAAAGGTAAAAAAAAACATAGAAAAAATGAAATAAACGTAAGAAGTTAATTTTGAAATGTGTAATAAAGTTAAAATGTGCAATCATTTTTTTTTTAAATAAATAAATATGAGAAGTTAAAATAAAAATGTGGGGAAAAATTGATAGAATTAGAGTAAAGAAATAATAAAAAAATGTGTCAAGTGTTTCCAAACAATTTGAAGAGTTTAGTCAACGTTTGAATTTTTGAGTTGGTGAAACGTACTTTTCAACAGTTTCCAAGCAATTTTAAGAGTTGATTAAACTCACTAATGTCATGGTCATTTCTACTGATCATAATTCCATTGTTGAGGTCTACTAGAATAGATATTGACTGTTTTTACATGCCTTTGTCTGAATGTCTTTCATTTTTGTAAAGCATCTTGAATTGCCTTGTGTTGAAAGGTGCTATATCAATAAACTTGCTATATCAATAAACTTGCCTTAAAAAAATGTGGTTTGTGAAATATGTTAAAAATAAACCATCATGTTTTTTATTTAGTGTTAAGAATATGAAAAATAAATAAGAAAACCATATTATATTATAGCCCAACCTACTACAATAAAAAAAACTTCATATGTAAACAAAGCAAATACTGTAAAAAATATATAAAAATAAACAAAATAAGTATATTGAAAATATAATTTAAAATGATAAAAATATACAAATATGTAATAAAATAATGTAAAAATATAATCAATAAACAAAACATATCATAACAAATGTACAAATAGCATTTCATTTATGAACATTACAAATATATAAAAAATGTAATGTTAAGAATATAAAGGCTTTACAGTATATAAATGAAATGATACGCTTCATGGGATTTTAATGTCTCTGTGTCTTCTCTCTCCAGCGCTCTGATGCTTCCAGTGATGTCCCGCCCCCCGTGCCCCTGAGGCTTCATGGAACCAATGTCCAACAAGCAGGACAGCAACTCATCAGAGGGAGACGAGAAAGGGTGAGTGTGTGTGTGTGTGTGTGTGTGTGTGTGTGTGTGTGTGTGTGTGTGTGTGTGTGTGTGTGTGTGTGTGTATGTGTATGTGTGTGTGTGTGTGTGTGTGTGTGTGTGTGTGTGTGTATGTGTGTGTGTGTGTGTGTGTGTGTGTGTGTGTGTTGTGTATGTGTATGTGTATGTGTGTGTGTGTGTGTGTGTGTGTGTGTGTGTGTGTGTGTGTGTGTGTGTGTGTGTGTGTGTGTGGTGTAAACATGAGATTATTGGTGGATTTGACAGAAGTGATTGGCTGCAGAGATGAATGGATGCTGGATTTGACAAGATATTTGTAATATTTTTAAAATATTATACACAAGTGCTGAGGGGTTTCGATGTATTTCTCAGTGATGAAAGTTTAGGATTTGCAGAACAAGTAGTGATTAATAACAGATGAGTGCTTGTGCAGCTTTATAAATAGAAAGAGAGAAGGGAGGGGCGCCGGGTGGTTGGTATCTTTTGGAGAGGTAAAAAAAAAGAAGACAGAACATTCTGTCACGCTGCATTCTGTACGCCATCAGACACGTGCAGACACACACACACACACACACACACACACACACACACACACACACACACACACACACACACACACACACACACACACACACACACACACACACACACACACACACACACACACACAGCTTCAATAAATAACAGAGAAGAGGAAGTGAACACTGCTAAAATGTAAACCCCATGTTACTGACATGACTCGGCACATAAAATGACTCACTTCCTGTCCCCTGGTCTGGAAGTCAATGGTTGTCTGAATGTGTTTTTGGTTGTTAGTGCTGTAGTTCCTTTATAGCCTAACATTAGCCTCCTTTAGCTTAGCGGTGGTGACGTGAAGTCATGTGACCGTGCTGTAGTTCCTTTACGGCCCCTACACACGGCGGCGTGCGTTGACGCTTGGCAGTGGGCGTGTCTTGAGCTTGGGGAGTTTACGCGAACAACGCGACCAACAACCAATCACATGAATCTCTCCTGTCAATTGCATAAAAGGTTTTACATGTCACACTTTATATGATGAACATTTATGACATTAATGTCTATGGTACTATTTTACGCAACATTCCATGCTGGCTAAATACTGTCTATGCCTGCTAGCTGTCCATTCAAACGAAGTACACTGGATATAAACTCCCCAAACAGGCGAAAACCTACCAGTTTCACCCACTGTCTCTGCCACCTCCCTCCATGCCTGGCTCCTCCGGTTTGTATCCCGGCAGGTGAACAGGGACTGAAAGCACCGGGTGATTCCCTACCGCTACGATTATTTTCTCCTCCATTTTTTGGCATATGAGGCAATGAACTGCGGTCTGGCTCTCCCAGCATACACGCGGTTTGATTGGCTAGCGCTTGTACTGGCAGATTTGCATGAGCGGGATTTGATTGGCTGACGCCTCCGCCTCAGCTTCAAAAGTAGAACATTGCTCTACTTTTGCAGCGAGCACCGCGAGAAAAGCTACGCTTTGCTCCCACAATGCAGTTCGGCGAAGCGTGACGTCACCCCATTCAAAGTGAATGGACAGAAGCGTTGAAGAGTCAACGCACGCCGCCGTGTGTAGGGGCTGTTATAGCCCAACAGTAGCCTCCTTTAGCTTAGCGGTGGTGACGTGAAGTCATGTGACTGTGCTGTAGTTCCTATATAGCCCAACATTAGCCACCTTTAGCTTAGCGGTGGTGACGTGAAGTCATGTGACCGTGCTGTAGTTCCGTTATAGCCCAACATTAGCCACCTTTAGCTTAGCGGTGGTGACGTGAAGTCATGTGACCGTGCTGTAGTTCCTTTATAGCCCAACATTAGCCACCTTTAGCTTAGCGGTGGTGACGTGAAGTCATGTGACCGTGCTGTAGTTCCTTTATAGCCCAACATTAGCCTCCTTTAGCTTAGCGGTGGTGACGTGAAGTCATGTGACCGTGCTGTAGTTCCTTTATAGCCCAACATTAGCCGCCTTTAGCTTAGCGGTGGTGACGTGAAGTCATGTGACCGTGCTGTAGTTCCTTTATAGCCCAACATTAGCCGCCTTTAGCTTAGCGGTGGTGACGTGAAGTCATGTGACCGTGCTGTAGTTCCTTTATTACATTACATTACATGTCACTTGTTAGACGCTTGTATCCAAAGCGACTAAAATACACTCAATACAGTGGGCAATCCCCACAGGAGCAGTTTGGGGTGAAGTGTCTCAGGGACACAACGACATGCTGACTGCAGTGGGACTCGAACTTGTTATCCCCTGATTCGAAGTTCAGTGCATTATCCCACTGAGCCACAGCCTCCCGTTATTACTTGTTTGTGTGTGCATCATTGGTAAAGCTGTCACCATGGTAACTTCCATGTTGTCGTACACAAAGTATTAGTAGCATCTACCTGGGGAGGTGATTAGGATCTGCCGCTGTGCGTGTGTGTGCAGATGGGCTTTTATCATTGAACATGCATGTAGATGAGTGAATGCGTGTGTGTGTGTGTGTGTGTGTGTGTGTGTGTGTGTGTGTGTGTGTGTGTGTGTGTGTGTGTGTGTACTTTAATGCATCAATAACTATAACCCAGTCATATGTATGATTCTGAAACTGGCCTATACACAAAATGAAGACTTTTACTTAATGTGTGCGTCTGTGTGTGCGTGTTGTGTGTGTGTGTGTGTGTGTGTGTGTGTGTGTGTGTGTGTGTGTGTGTGTGTGTGTGTGTGTGTGTGTGTGTGTGTGTGTGTGTGTGTGTGTGTGTGTGTGTGTGTGTGTGTGTGTGTGTGTGTGTGTGTGTGTGTGGATTAAGATCAGTGAGGGCAGATGGAGCCTCAGAAAGCAGAGGACAGATCAGGACTCTGAGTGTTTGACATCAGGGGATTGTCGCTTTGTTTTGGTGTGAGTGTGTGTGTGTGTGTGTGTGTGTGTGTGTGTGTGCGTGTGTGTGTGTGTGTGTGCGTGTGTGTGTGTGTTTCTCAGAGTCATTGAGCAAACACGTGTTCTTGTGAGCACAGCCTCATGCCCTGACCCCCCCCCTCCGTATAATGTCTGAGTCAGAGAACACACACACACACAGACACACACACACACACACAGACACACACACACACACACACACACACACACACACACACACACACACACCACACACACACACACACACACACACACACACACACACACACACACACACAGAGTTGTTGCTGCAAAACCTTACATAGCCTAGAGTAGGTAATACTGAAACAGCATTGTGTGTGTGTGTGTTTTTTTGTGTGTCTCTGTTTGTGAGATTATTTCAGGAAACTGTAGGCTTCCACGATTGCAAATTCATCTGCAAAAAATAAACAAAAACAAACTTTTTCTCCTGATGGAACATCTTCCATTGATTAATCCTCCACATGAGGGCTATTAAAGCCAACATTGCATTTTGATCTGATTATTGCACATTGATGCTGAGTAGATTCAAGGTTCAAGGCTTTTATTGTCATTTGTACAGTGAAGTTATGACAATGAAAATCTGAGGTCACAGGCTCCTCCAAAAGAGCAACACAATAAAACAGATGAAATAGTGCAAGTAAATACAAGAAAATAGAATATAGTAGAAATTGTGCAGAATAGTCTATATACAAGTCATTGGAATAGACTTCCTTCTATGGTGGCCTTGTCCTCGTTACATTATGTTCATTAGCTTAAGCAACACACGCAGACACAACAACAGCTGTGTGTTAACTCAAGCCTCTTGGACGTTTGACCCGTTGGCAAATAATGAAACAGTGAAGGATTTGTAAACTAAGGTGGAAATAAGGCTTTGTTAAATGTTTGTAAAACCACGTAGGCGTCGATCCACAAATCAAGCGTTTGTGTCAGACGAGCTTTGTTGTGGAAGTCAATAACAGCTACAGAAAACCTCAAGTTTTAAAGCAATAAGCTATTTTTAAAAAGCTGTAAATCAGGGTCATTTTGGACATTTCTGTTTTGTAGCACCTTCTAAAATGATGTATGGTAACTGGAGATGCCCTCATGAACTGAGTCTATAATTATCTGAGAAAAGTTCTTAAGCCAGGTAGGTAACCATTCAGGTAGAAATAAAGTTAAATAATTAAAGAAATACACTGTAAAGATATGTGAGGGTTTAGCTAACCTCCCACAAAGTGCACTGGGTGTTGAAGAAGCTAATTTATGTAGTGGCCAAACGGTGGTACTACACCTGCCTGTCAGTTACGTAATTTGGCCAATAAATCCTTTTCCCATTGACTTACATTGGGAATAAGACTTCTGTAATTCAGCGGATTATTTATTTCTTCTGGGTCAATCACTTAGTAGGTGTGCTTAAACACACATTTAAAGTTATTTTCCCGATCCAGTTCTCTTATACGTCCATAGTTGTACCACGTTAACTCAATCTGTTTCTGTTGGGATGCACAGTGTTGGATGCCATTTTCTTTTTAACTATTGTAATGACCAGCGTAAACAATGTCTGTTCTCGTAAGGTCCAATAAGTTCTTTGATAACAGAATTGCAGATGAAAACACGATATTTGAAATCTATAAAAAGCCATGATAGCACTGATTCCCTTGTGAGTTAAAGTTATTGAAAGTTTGACTAGTTAGCTGATCTAGATAGCGTGTGCTAGCTGAAGTTGTGAGGGTAAAGACCTGCAGTTTTCCTATATTATGGTTAAGTTTCCTTCTACCCGACTGTAAATGTAGTTTCAAAAACTGGTGGTAAAACATTGACAGAAACCCTAAATATCTGCTATAACAATTTACAATCTGGGATAATCCTTTAGCATTGCATTTACGATACACAATTAAAAAAGTATCAAAATTGTTGCAGCAGAAACGGACATATAGTCTTTTGCTCATGGTCGAAATCTGGCGCCTACATTACCCACAATGCAACTCAGCTGTGTTATATATGTGTGGATAATGTTACCTCTAGCTCCAATCAGAGATAAGGAGTTTGTAAAAGAGATTCTTAAATTTCAACTCTCTCAGACACCACTGAGTCGTTTGCCGTTTACTGGAATTAGCATGAAACCCCCACACACACACACACACACACACACACACACACACACACACACACACACACACACACACACACACACACACACACACACACACACACACACACACACACACACACACACACACTCTCTCTCTCTCTCAGCTAAGCCTTTGCTTCATGTGACAGCAGCATGACATATCTTTGTCATGGTCGTGAATGCCTCCATGTAATTTCATTTTACAGTTATCCATCACATGACAGCGTTTAAACTCTTTAATCCAAATCAACTTTATAAAAAGAAGAGGCAGCTTCTATCAGTGTTTTGTTCCTCCAGTACTTGATGTCCTTTCTTAGGACTCGTGACTCAGAGCAAGGCCCTGAAGCTCAACTATAAACACTACAACTGCACAATAATGAACACTTGATTTAAATTGCAATATGGAAAGAGCTCCAGTATATTAAGATCAAAGACAGCACAATATTTGGTAAAGGTTAAATGGATTGATGGATGGGTAGGAAGGAAGGAAGGAAGGGAGGAAGGAAGGAAGGAAGGAAGGAAGGAAGGAAGGAAGGAAGGAAGGAAGGAAGGAAGGAAGGAAGGAAGGGAGGAAGGAAGGAAGGAAGGAAGGAAGGAAGGAAGGGAGGAAGGAAGGAAGGAAGGAAGGAAGGAAGGAAGGAAGAAACCAACCAACACCAACCAACCAACCAACCAACCAACCAACCAACCAACGAACCAACGAACGAACCAACGAACGAACCAACGAACGAACCAACGAACCAACGAACGAACCAACGAACCAACGAACGAACCAACGAACGAACCAACGAACCAACGAACGAACCAACGAACCAACCAACCAACCAACCAACCAACCAACCAACCAACCAACCAACCAACCAACGAACAAACCAACGAACGAACCAACCAACGAACCAACGAACCAACCAACGAACCAACCAACGAACCAACGAGCGAACGAACGAACGAATGAACCAACGAACGAACCAACGAACGAACCAACGAGCGAACCAACGAGCGAACGAACGTAGGAAGGTAGGAAGGTAGGAAGATAGGAAGGAATGAAAGAAGGCCTCTATAAACTGTTCACGAGGATCCTTGATCCGGATGTGGGATTCTTAACAACTGCTAGAGAGTATACCTGCAGACAGAAGAGACCCTAACTCAGTGGATGAGATGTCAAACAGTGTCCCCAGAAGACTTCAGCTAAACTGCAGATGGCATCAGAACACACTTATGTAATGTAGTTAGCATTAAAGCTTAAGTAAGTTGGAACTTTTAGTTTTGTTCTTCTGAGGACAACATGAAGAGAGGAAAGTGGAAGGGGTGAGAGATGCCAGGTGAGACCAGAGAGGAAGCAAAAAACACGAACATTAAATGTGCGTACTGCTGTATCTACATAAGGGTGTCCCAATGCAAAGTATATTAAAATGAACTCTGAGTACTGGATATTGCTCTCATAACAGTCACTTCTCACACTCAGCGACCGCCATCTTGGCTACGTAGCTGAAGTTAAGCTATCAGCTCTTGAATCCCTTGTACTAAAAATAATAAATGTGGGTTGTTCTCACTCTTTAAGTAACATACCAATCTACTTGTGACAAAATGAAGCCACCATTCATTTTATTAGTTTTGATCAGTTAAATGTATTGGAACCACGAACTATAACGTTGCTAGCTGCCAAGCTAACAGTGGAACATTGTAGCTTCTGGTGAAGGAGCAGCAGCCGTGTTCAATTTGAGACAACGCTACCCGGTCATCATTCAAACATTGCAAAAGTCTTCAAAGTGGACGACATGCTTTGTACGAAGGATGGTGTGTTAGTATAAACTCTGAGCACTGTTGTGACGTACCCATGGGCATCACTTTGTTTTCAAAAGTGGTTTGGAAATGTCCCCAGTGTCCCCAGTGTCCCCAGCGCAAATGACTCTGATTCATGTCTATTGGGTACACACTCTCACTGAGTACCACACAATACACAAAGCTCCACTGATGCTTTTGTTTTAAATGATGCTTTCATTAAGCACAGCAGGTTAATAATGCCACCTGTCAGAAAGTCAGAACAGAACATGCTTGTAGATCACTGTGTAAGAACGTGGTAGTCGGACTGCATTTCTATAACCCTTTCCCAGTCTGTACCCTCTTAGAGCAGCATTTACCAATTTACAGCCAATCAGAGAGAGGCTGCCATACAAGGAGCCCACTGCTCAGAGAAACTAACATCCACACATCGGCCATCAGGAGCAACGTGGGGTTAAGTATCTTGCCCAATTTACACCAGGATCAAACCCCCAACCCTTCCATTGGTAGAAAACCTCTCACAGCCCCAGACCCCCAAACTGGTGTCTGGACCCCCTCGACTCTAACCATCAGATCAATGTCTCCCTGTGCGGCAAACTCAAGATATCAACATGTTCAGATCAGAAGTCACGAAGAGCGTGCTTTGACGTAACTCCAAAACCCAAAGATGACCTGATAACCCTTCAGAGTTACCACTGACGATGAGATAAAGAAGTCATGTTTTCTGTCCACCAATGAGACGCTGATGCTGAGATGCCTATCGGCGTACCAAACGCTCATTCACTCTTTACTCCTTACGTGAGCTTCAGCCTACTCTTTCATATTTATGTTTATCGGCATGTTGAAACAGTGTAGAGACTATCGTGTCTACAATTTCTTTACATTTCTCTAATCAATTTGAAATGCATTTAATGTAAACACTTAGTTAATGTATGTAGAAACAGAACGCTCTGTTTGACAACAACATTGCTCTCATTTTAGTTTGGACCATTTGGATTGTCTACTCTTCGCTTAGGTTTCATTTCTGCAACATTTGCATGTTTTCATCGTAAAATAAGAAAATGTTTCCACTTTTCTCAGTTTTATATGAAGTTAAATTAAGGTTTCTGCACCGACAATACAACATACTGAAGTTGACCTGATTCATCTACATCATATTTGGCAGATTAATTGATAATCTTTGTTGCAGCGCTAGAAGAAAGTAAAGGATTAAGCATCACATAATACACACACACACACACACACACACACACACACACACACACACACACACACACACACACACACACACACACACACACACACACACACACACACACACACACACACACACACACACACAAATAGGGGAGGATCTACACACTGACACACACACACACACACACACGCGCACACACACACACACACACACACGCACACAAATAGGGGAGGATCTACACACTGACACACACACACACACACACACACACCACACACACACACACACACACACACACACACACACACACACACACACACACACACAGAGAGAGAGAGAGAGAGAATAAGCAGCTCTGCCTCCCTCCAGCAGCCAGAGTGAGGCAGACAGCCTCTCAGCTGACAGCAGCGGGGATTTAAGGACCTCCACACACACACACACGGACACACTGGTGCTTTTGAAGAAGTGGAAACTGTTGCGATACTAATCCGAGTGTGTGCATACTGAGCGGGACACGTGTGGGCGGCTGAGGCTCGTTCTCTTCTGAACACACTCCTGCAGAATCAGCAACATGCATATCCTGGAGCCGTACTGCATCAACAGGTGTGTGTGTGTGTGTGTGTGTGTGTGTGTGTGTGTGTGTGTGTGTGTGTGTGTGTGTGTGTGTGTGTGTGTGTGTGTGTGTGTGTGTGTGTGTGTGTGTGTGTGTGTGTGTGTGTGTGTGTGTGTGTGTGTGTGTGTTCCCCATGTGCACAGCGGCAGATTTAATACGTCTGGCCGAGCGTAAAGAGCACAGAAAGAGACGTGAGAGAATGTTGGTTTATTTCGGGAGTCGACGGGCTGTTACATAATACTGCTGTGGAAGTTTTTTTAAAAGCAGGAAGGAAAAAATAAATACAATGGTGCAAAGATGTCGTATTTCTGTGCTGGTCCCTGAAGGCAGCATCTCCCTGGTCCAATGGGATTCCTCCATTTGATTATTGCAGTAAATATTACAGTGTAGAAATACTCATTCACACAGGTCAAATCCTGTGTTTGAAATATTGTAAAAGGTCTAAATAGTTGGCAATGAAATAAACTTAAAGTACTTAACGTAGAAATGACTTATTATATATATTTTGTTATGATTGCATTCAATAATTGGATGTTTAAGTAAAAAAACACATCATTATTTGTGAGGATTTGCTGCTTTTTGCATCATAGAATATTATTTTATATATTAATAATAATTATATTCATATAAACAACAGTCAGACAAATCATTATAAATAATAAAAACAGTGAAATAATTGAAAAAATAAACACAAGATAATTGAAAAATATGTTTTCAGCTAATAATGTGTTTTTAATCACATTGTTTTCTAATATTAACATCTCTCTCTCCTCATCGTCAGGTGGCCAGATGTGCCGAAGAGAAAGAGAAAGAACAGCCTTTGTTCTGGGAAGAGCGTGTCAGGTAAACATCTCTTTACGTTGTTATCCACAAACAAACAAACAAACAAACAATAAAGATCATTCAAGGTGTATTTTAAATGCTCCAGAGGATCATATGACCTCGTGAGGCCTGTACTACGAAGCCGGTTCAACCTAACCTGGATATGTTTGAGTTAGCCGGTTGGCCCAATCCAAAACATACGCGCTCTCGCTAAGCTGTACTACGACGCTGGTTATCAAGTGGATCGCTCAAGCCAGCCGTGTCCTATCTAGTTAGGTGCGCGTTCACATGAAAGGGGTGGTATTTGGAGCATTCGACCAATCACAAACATGGACAAGCGTACTGACAGCGCAGCGTCATACTTCCTGAATGAAAAGTGAACTTTAATATTAGTCAAATATGAAGAAGTTAAACTTTAAACATCCATAACTTAAACACTTTATCCAGGATCAAAGCCACATAGCTGCACCTGCAAGGTGAATACAGCTGGTAAAAGAAAAAGCGTTTGAATGCGTACATTAACAGGTTTATGATATCCAGAGTTGGGTGTAACGCATTACAAAGTAACGCGTTACTGTAATAATATTACTTTTGTCGGTAACGGAGTAGTGTAACGCGTTACTTTTATAATTCAGTAATCACACTACAGTTACTAACATTGCCCCGACACGCGTTACTTCGTTACTTTTATAAAATCAGTCATAATCACACTGACAGACAAGAGGGGTTTCCGCCGCAGGTTTATATGTACGTAATCTGCGCGACTTGCGCGTCCACATCTCCACGTGCAGTGCTGCATAAACATGGCAGAGTCAGCGATAACTTTCGAGGGGTGGAGGTATGCCCATTATTTTGAGTTCGTCCGAAGAATAGACAGGAATGTGACGGTGAGGTGCAAACTGTGTCCAGGCCAGAAGCTGTTATCCACTGCTGCAAACACCACGTCAAACCTCAACAAACACCTGCAAAGAACACATGCTAAGGTGAAGCTAATAGCTAAGGACCCCCGAACCCAGAGTGAGGATGTTGTGAGTGCGCCGCCGCGGACTCCGAAGCAGCACAAATTAGAATTTGGAGGACCGGTAACCAAAGCAGAGATGGACAGGCTTGTAGCATCCTTCATAGTAGAGGTAATGTTGCCCATTTGCACAGTGGAATCACCATCGCATCGTTCAGAGATATTCTGCGCAAAATACAGATAGCAGGAGACAGAGGACAGCCATAGTCAGAGCTATCTGGATCAGTCTTATGCGACAATGGAAACTGAACTAAAGAGAACATTTGAAACTTTAGGAGTCTGCGTGATCTGCCTGCAGGGAGGGGCGGGCCGGCCCTGCGAGTAAAGTAACGAGTAAAGTAACGAGTAAAGTAACGAGTTACTTTATGTAGAGAGTAACGAAGTAGTGTAATATATTACTTTTTAAAAAAGTAATATGTAATATGTAATATTATACTTTTTTTTAGTAACGACCCCATCTCTGATGATATCACTGCCCCGTCTAAGGTGCTTGCCACACGAGGACGATAACGGTCGTATCTGCTACAGTTCTCTATCAGATAGACGGTTCGGCCACACGAGGCCGACACGGAAACGCAGAAAACGATAACGATAACGGGTCCCTAGGTGGGTAGATCTGCAGACGCAGCGCTCTGGGGGGCAAACGGCTCCGTGTTTACGCCTATACCATCATGTCCTGATAATGATGACGCAATAGCCCCGCCTCTCCCCACCTCTGCTGCTCAGAGATCAGCTGCTGGGCTGTCAGGAGAGGGGGAGGAAAAGAGAGGCTCCGTTTTTTATTCTTATATTATTATATAGAGTCGTTATTCATTTGTTTTAAAGCTCAATAAATAACAAAGAAGACCTCTGACCGGCACTTTTCTAATTTTGTCTCGTGTGAACGGACACGTTGCTGGTGCCTGTTGCGTGTGGATGGAAGACTTTTTTGATAACGATTGCGGTCCGTTTGCGTTATCGTCCTCGTGTGGCTGCAGCCTGAGACACGAGTGTTTACAGGGGAGGGTCTACACACTCACACACACACACACGCACACACACACACACACACACACACACACACACACACACACACACACACACACACACACACACACACACACACACACACACACACACACACACACACACACACACACACACACACACACACACAGGGGTGAGAGGGAGAGAATTAGCAGCCCTCGATCCAAAACTACAAGATTAGACACGTCATAATTATCTTAAGTACGTCAATGAATCTCTGTTATACATCGGGTTAAACTAAACTAATATGGCCTTTAATTCAATAAAAGGTATTTTTTTCTTCTTTGAGTAACTACGCAGGATATGAGATGATTATTATTCATGTATAAAGAGTCATAAATAAAGTTAAAACTCTCATTTCCGTTTATTTTGGTCTCAAAAGTGTCTAATTTGGTAGTTTTGTACCTTTCTGTCTACAGATCTGTAATCTCACCTGTTGATCTAATATGTGCTGAACAGAGCCTCTGATAGCACATCATATGAATTTAAAATGATGTACAGGAGATGGTCACAGTGCAAAAGAAGGATTATCCTGAAATTGCCCTAAAATATGATTGTTGGGAACGATGGTCATGACTTTTAATACAGAAACTATCAACAAAAACAACAAATAATGAAGTATTAATGTCTATTTATGTTTATGATCAGATTACAGACTGATGTGTTAGCTAGACTGAAGCTGAACGACTAAAGATAACATTACAAATAAATGTAAGTTAATGTACAAACGGAGGGTCGTTTCCCTCCGATAGAAACGTTCCTGAGAGTGAAACAGTAACCACTCGCCTCCTCATCTCCTTCTCCTCCTTGTCTCCTCTCCTCCAGCTCTCAGTGTTCCAGGATACATCCCCAGCTACCTGGAGAAGGACGAGCCCTGCGTGGTGTGTGGAGACAAGGCCACGGGCTACCACTACCGCTGCATCACCTGCGAGGGCTGCAAGGTACCTGAACGCCTCACAGCCTGTTATCAGAGGCAGCTAGTGCCCCTGAACGCCTCACAGCTTGTTATCAGAGGCAGCTAGTGCCCCTGAACGCCTCACAGCCTGTTATCAGAGGCAGCTAGTGCCCCTGAACGCCTCACAACCTGTTATCAGAGGCAGCTAGTGCCCCTGAACGCCTCACAGCCTGTTATCAGAGGCAGCTAGTGCCCCTGAACGCCTCACAACCTGTTATCAGAGGCAGCTAGTGCCCCTGAACGCCTCACAGCCTGTTATCAGAGGCAGCTAGTGCCCCTGAACGCCTCACAGCCTGTTATCAGAGGCAGCTAGTGCCCCTGAACGCCTCACAACCTGTTATCAGAGGCAGCTAGTGCCCCTGAACGCCTCACAGCCTGTTATCAGAGGCAGCTAGTGCACCTGAACGCCTCACAGCCTGTTATCAGAGGCAGCTAGTGCACCTGAACGCCTCACAGCCTGTTATCAGAGGCAGCTAGTGCCCCTGAACGCCTCACAGCCTGTTATCAGAGGCAGCTAGTGCACCTGAACGCCTCACAGCCTGTTATCAGAGGCAGCTAGTGCACCTGAACGCCTCACAGCCTGTTATCAGAGGCAGCTAGTGCCCCTTCAAGGTACACTGGGATCTCTCAATCAACCAATATCCCCAAAATGAGGAAAGCCTTAAACAGAATCAGAATCAAGTTTTTTGCCAGGTACGTTTCCAGATACCAGGAATTAGCTTGGTGGTGCAAACATAAACAATATAAGCAAATAAGTTAGGACGATAATAAAGAAACATTCAAGAAAATAAACAATTTTACATTAAAAAAAGAATAAGGACACCAGATTTCAATATACAAAATAAACTAAAACACTTATTACAATGAATTTATGACGATATTGAAACGATATATTTCAAACATAAGGGCTGTGCAGAAATGTGCATGTAAATATATTTAACAATCTGGCCTCAGATATGTATATGTGTTTTTTATTCATTTAACTACATTCTTGTTTTAACAGCTACTTACCTGAATATCATTTTTCAATTTTTCAATTTAATTTGATCTTTAATTGTAATAATCTTGTGTGAATCTGTACTGTACCTTCGCTCTCACTCTGTTGCTGCTTAAACTCCTGAATGTCCCTAAGGGGTTCATAAAGGTCCATCTTTTCTTATCTTATATATTCAGAGAGAAACTTTCTTATATAGTTTTGGATTTTCAAGGTTTAATAATGTCTGACAATCCATTTCCTCCAACATGAGGACATCCTTATCGCGGATGATGCTTAGCTGCAGACAGAACCGTTTTTGATAATCCTATTTGTTAGGGAAATATTTCGGATCAGAATCATTCTTTGAGAAGCCTAGTTCCTAATCACCCTCCAGTAGTGCTGTGATCAATGTCGAGGATTTCATTAAATCATTGACATTTCAGCCTAAACTTATCAAACAATGCTAAACAGAATATAAGCAGATTCAAAACAGAAAATACATATATGAAAAAGCGAAAACAACTTATTATTGTTGGGGAAATATTTCCCAAGGCCCATAACTTTGACCCAGTTGATCAGTTCTGTCCTGACTGAGCACACGCACCTGTAACCTGGGCTGCTGTGCTCTCAGTGTTCTGTCTCCCTGCTCCTGTTGGCGTCAGCTGATAGAGGTGTTATGGTTCTATGTTCCTGCCTGTTGGATCAGCTGATAGAGGTGTTATGGTTCTATGTTCCTGCCTGTTGGATCAGCTGATAGAGGTGTTATGGTTCTATGTTCCTGCCTGTTGGCGTCAGCTGATAGAGGTGTTATGGTTCTATGTTCCTGTCTGTTGGATCAGCTGATAGAGGTGTTATGGTTCTATGTTCCTGCCTGTTGGATCAGCTGATAGAGGTGTTATGGTTCTATGTTCCTGCCTGTTGGATCAGCTGATAGAGGTGTTATGGTTCTGTGTTCCTGCCTGTTGGATCAGCTGATAGAGGTGTTATGGTTCTATGTTCCTGCCTGTTGGATCAGCTGATAGAGGTGTTATGGTTCTATGTTCCTGTCTGTTGGCGTCAGCTGATAGAGGTGTTATGGTTCTATGTTCCTGCCTGTTGGATCAGCTGATAGAGGTGTTATGGTTCTATGTTCCTGCCTGTTGGATCAGCTGATAGAGGTGTTATGGTTCTATGTTCCTGCCTGTTGGCGTCAGCTGGTAGAGGTGTTATGGTTCTATGTTCCTGCCTGTTGGCGTCAGCTGATAGAGGGGTTATGGTTCTATGTTCCTGCCTGTTGGATCAGCTGATAGAGGTGTTATGGTTCTATGTTCCTGCCTGTTGGATCAGCTGATAGAGGTGTTATGGTTCTATGTTCCTGCCTGTTGGATCAGCTGATAGAGGTGTTATGGTTCTGTGTTCCTGCCTGTTGGATCAGCTGATAGAGGTGTTATGGTTCTGTGTTCCTGCCTGTTGGATCAGCTGATAGAGGTGTTATGGTTCTGTGTTCCTGCCTGTTGGATCAGCTGATAGAGGTGTTATGGTTCTATGTTCCTGCCTGTTGGATCAGCTGATAGAGGTGTTATGGTTCTATGTTGTTCTGCTCAATGTGGATGATTCTCTCTGAACTAGCTAAACACACGGGTCTCAGGGAGAGTTCTTGAGATTTGACGTGGCAACTCTCCCGTGAAGTCAGAACCTCTGACTCGTGACTTGTTTTGTGAATTCTCCGGCCGAAGCTCCAAATAACCCATCAGTGTTCGACTTAGGGCCTTACTGCTCGGTTATGACAAAAATCATAATCTCGATTATTTGGGTCAATAATTGATATCACGATTATTAAAAAACGATTATCCATTTACTTTGAAAACATCAATTTATTGGAGAAAGAAATGTGAACAGTATGTTTTTAACCTGTTACGCACCGCCCCCCCGGTACCGGGCGGATAAACGCGTCATTTGCAGGAAACAACGTCTAAGGAATCTTAATATTTTATAAACTATGAATGTTTTATATCCATGTAACGGGAAGAAACTCAGCTAACTGATCTTTTTAAAAAATAAATCCAAAAAAACCCCACAATGCTAACACTCAGCCTCTGAATTAGCCACGAGCGAAAAAATGTAACCTATCTCTGCACCTAAACTCACTCATAACTCCCTTATTACTTATCCTAGATGCACAGCCAACCCCTCGATTAGCATCAGCTGGAGACACAGAATCTGGGGGTGCCCACCTCAATACTCAGTGATAAACATTTGCGACGCTATAAACGAAAACGTACATCATAACATGTGGAGCTAGGTAGCTAGAAACGCTAACATGGCTTACCTTGGTCAAAACTGGTCTTCAATGGCATTAAAACGATAAAAAAAACGATGCTGCAGTTAATCCATAGGTTAATCCAATGTGTCTGTGTCCTCTTTGAAATGATTTATGATAATCCATAAGCAATAAAACTGCTTTTTCGTTTCCAAATGTCAGAGCGAGAGATAGGTCCACTCTGCTGCAAATTTACATGCGCGCAGCCCCCACCCAGGCCACCCCCTTCGATTCTATTGGCTCTAACGGTCAGAAAGAGGTGTCAACCATCAAAATCGACCAAGGGGGGCCAGAGATATGGAAAAAAAACAATTTTCACCCAAATCACCTCAGAGGTGGGGTGGTTTTGGCTAAACCTCTCTAAAAAGGTCAAATGTCACTTGTTTTGCATCAATCTTGATACAGGGTACTTATTATATGTTGTACTTTGGATTCCTAAAGCTTTTAGTCTACTAACCCATCATCCAAGGGTAGTTTTCACTATCTGTAAAAAAGAATTTTTGGACGGACACTATAATTTACAGTTTTTTACTATGTAAAATCTGAATTTTCTTTAAAATAAAAAACATCTATATTGATTCTGACACTTCTACATCCAACTCACAGGTTTATCATTACTTTGAGAAAAGAAATTATTCATATAACCCTTTTAGAAGTTAAGTTGTAGTCATTTGTTTTGGGCATGTCATTTTCGAGCCTGAAACATGAAAAACAGGCTTGGTGCTTAACAGGTTAACAGTTGATTACCCTGAACTTTAATTATCAGTATAATTCAACTGAAAAACCAATTAAAAAAAAAATGTATTTGAAAAATAAATTAATAATAATAATAAAAAAATAATCGTTTTATTTCCTTTGAGTCGGTGGCTCCTCCTGCATTGCTACTCAGAAGTCTCCCCCACACTATTAACTTGACTACTTGAAACAATAATAATTAAACTCTATCAAAGAATAGAAAACATAAATCTGTCTCGGTTAAGTATATTTCTGACTTTTCTCTGTAATAATGCTTTGAAAAACACGCTCTAGACTTCATTAAAATAACTCATTTAGTGCCTTTTTTACTTCAAGTAAAGTACAAGTACCTCAACATTGAACTTAAGGACAATACTTGAGTAAATCTAAGTAGGTACTTCCCACCTTTGTTATCAATGCTAACACAAACTAGCTTTTAGCTTCATCACAAGAACTGATTTAGTGCCTTCTTTCTAGTTTCTTGATTTAAGAGAAGCATGAAGCCATAAACCGGAGACAGTTTGTGATTAGCTTAGCTCTGCACAGCTGATTGAATTAGCTTCATTAAGTTTGTCTTTTCTCATTCATATCTCCATCACTTCAGGAATGTGGAGTGAATTGATCTCTCGCGCGTCACACATTTTCAAACTACATCCGTTTTAATTTCTTTATCGACGCTGGCAGGACTTTCTGTTTTCAGCTCTCCGTCTCACAGAACAAAGTCACTTTATATTCAAAACAACACATCTGTTCAGATCTCTAAGTCTATTGCTTTTTCTCAAAATAACAAATGCTGCAAACTGGGAAAAGTCCAATAAGTAAGATGTATTTTTCCATGAAGCTAGATAACGATATCCAGGGCCGGTTTTTGGCATAGATGGTCGTCTAGGGCGCCAGATCTCTCTGGGAGGGAAAAAAACATTTTTGACCGTTTCTGCTCATCCTAATTTTCGGCCTTGATGTAACAACATTCATAATTAAGTCAAGGTAACACCCTTTTCACCCCGGTTACACATTTCATTCGCCCTGTACGATGGGCGCTGTAAGTGATGAAAATGGCTTATCAGGCGCCCGCAGCTCACAGCCAAAGTGCGAGCGAGCCTCCGAGCGAGCAAGAGAGAGAAAGAGGGAGAGAGGGAGAGAGGGAGAGAGGGAGAGAGGGAAAGAGGGAGAGAGGGAGAGAGGGAGAGAGAGAAAGAGGGAGAGAGGGAGAGAGGGAGAGAGAGAAAGAGGGAGAGAGAGAGAGAGAGGGCGCACCGATACCGACTATTGTTGTTGTTAGCATCTGGTGCTAGCTGTGCTAACGGATATAAGAAGCTGTTTCTACAAGAAGGTAGAGGGAGAGTCCTCTCCAGTCAGACTGAGGCTCAGTGAGGTGAAGGACTCTGAGGGTTTAGATAGTTCACTTTAGTCTCAGTTATCTCAGTGGGTCTCAAACGGTTTGGTCACAATTTATGTAAACACATATTTCCAAGGCACTCCTTTCTAATTATTAGGATGAATAAAAACAGGAAATCATTCCAGTGTATACTATAGGACAGTGAACCAGACATATCGTTTACAACTGGAGAGATTTAAAAATATGCATAAATAAATAAATGTTAACTAGGTAAAATAAGATATGAATGAACCACAAAAATAAAATAAGTTACATGTATTTGTTATGGGCTCTGGGTTATTGGTTATGTTCATATACTTATTTGATTATTCAAATGCAAACCGATCTTCTTCATCTGGGTGTTTTAGAGTTGTACCCCCTAGATCAGGTCTCTAGTCATTCTGCTCAAAGTGCACCAGATTGAAGCATTTTACTTGTGTTCAAAAAAATCTTTCCGGGGGGGCAGACCCCCGGACCCCCCTGGAGGATGTGAAGTCCACCACTAATTTAAAACATGTTCATACCATACTGAATACATTTGAAACCTTTTTATATATATATAACCAACATGTCAATACGTTTCTGTTTTAGTGTCTTTGTCTTTTGTAGAGATCTTGGGGGGGGGGGGCTGGGCGCCAGCTAAAATCTCGCCTAGGGCAGCAAATTGGTCAGAACCGGCCCTGACGATATCCCATAGTAGGATCTATTTAAAAATATATAAAGTGATTATTGAACAGGCCGTAGATAAGTGAGATTTAATGCAGGAGTCAGCTGACCGAAGCTTCCTGTCTGAACTTCAGTCTCTATTGTCGGCGTCTAACATCATGTTCATGGTTCAATTAACCAATTAAAGGCTCCCACAAAACAGCCCTTTGTGTTCACTAGAGTTACATTTGGATTACACGTGTCCTCGATGAAATGGGTCTTCTTTAAAATCTTGAATGCCAGAAACAGAATAGATGTTGATGCTGAGCCTCTGTGATGAATCGATGGTACATGTTGTGCTCCTTGTTTATTGGTAATTGGGAAGAAATGCAGAATACGAAACAGAACGATGAGAGGTTCGTTCCTTAAAGCTCGGCCTCCTGTAATTTCACAGGAAATGAGGCGTACTGAAATCCTTAATTATCTCCACGAGAGTCGATCGTCTTCACTTATATTTAGATAAGTGTGTCTTTCTTACTACGGACTTTCCTTGGATATGCATTCAGAGAGATCTCATGAGACAGGAGCAACCGTTCATTGACTTCTTTAATGCTGATGTTGACAAAAGTATTTTGTATTTTATTTGAGGTTATCAAAGTCAACTTTATTGTCAATCTCAAAATATGTTTGTACACACAGAAAGATCAGAACCCTGTGTCCCACTCACACATTAAAATACAAGAACACTCAATATTTTACAAAAGAAACACAAAATAACCGTTTTCTTCAAGTAAGCAGGATATATATAGAAAGATGATGTGCAAATGGGAGTTTAATATGCTTTATTTAACCGGGTAAAACGTCTCATTGAGATTTAGCATTAAAAAAGGAAACTAACGACACGTATTCACACCAAATGTAATACTATACGAATAACCTTAAAAGCTAGAAAACTAAAACACTTAGGAAAATGAGTAAATGGAAAACTACAGTGTGTTATATTTTAAAGTGGAGAGCTGTGCCAAGCAGTCAGAGAGTTGATATGAACACGATGTTTGTCACATGATGTTCTTTAACCTGTTAAGCCCCATTTAATTTTAAATTTTTTTATTAATTTCTTTAATTTGAATTGTTTTTCTTTGGATGGAATGAATACCTATGGTGATAATTCAATGTAATACATCATTTTTATAGTCTGGTACCTGAAAAAGGTCAAATGGCACTGATGGAACCAGATGTACCCAAATGTGCCGAAAGCCTATTCCGCCTGGAACTTTCTTTTGGCTAAACCTCTCTAAAAAGGTCAAATTTAACTTGTTTTGCCTCAATGTTGATACAGGGTACTTATTATATGTTATAGTTTGGATTCCTAAAGTTTATAGTCTACCATCCCATCATTCAAGGGTGGTTTTCACTATAAGTAATGTTTTTTCTTTAGGCAGAGGTAAGAATTTACCTTTTTTTACTATGTTCCATCTGAATTTACTCTGACTGAGAAAAATCTATATTGATTCTGACACTTCTACATCCAACTCACAGATGTAACCTTGCTTTGATAAAAGAAATTATTCATATAACCCTTTTAGAAGTGAAGTTGTAGTCATTTGTTTTGGGCATGTCATTTTCGAGCCTGAAACCTGAAAAACAGGCTCGGGGCTTAACAGGTTAATGTAATGCATCGTGTTTTTGGGGTGGATGAAGCTCCTTCTGGACTTTCTAGGCAGAAGGAGCTTCATATTTAAAAGCTTTGTTCCCTCGTTCTAACTTAGCATCCCCAGCATCTGAATAAAGTCTTGGGAGGTCATATAGACTTGCTTTTTTACACATATATGTGCAAATATGAGAGGGAACCAGCCCAAGGAGAGATTTCAATATAAATATAAAACCCAATTGCAGTGGTGTACGATGTCCTCATCCAGAGTGGCATATTTCCTCTCAATCTCTGAATGCTTTTTCTATCTCTGGTTACTTTCCATAAGCTCCATTTATTCCTTATCCTTTCTTTAAAGGTCCCCTATCATCCTCCTCTTCATCAATATATCACAGGTCTCAGATATATCCAGAGCCTGTCTCTGATTGGCTGAAACACCAAACAGATCATTGCAGCATTACCCATAATCCCCTCTGTTTCAGCCCTGTTTCCAAAGTGCTGATTCTCTGTCTGTTACTTCAGATGAAAATAAGGAGCCCCTCCCCACGCCCCTCTGAGAGACATTTGATGTAGAAGAGACATGAAGAAGAGGGGACACATGTTGATGTAGAAGAGACATGAAGAAGAGGGGACACATGTTGATGTAGAAGAGACATGGAGAAGAGGGGACACATGTTGATGTAGAAGAGACATGAAGAAGAGGGGACACATGTTGATGAAGAAGAGACATGAAGAAGAGGGGACACATGTTGATGTAGAAGAGACATGAAGAAGAGGGGACACATGTTGATGAAGAAGAGACATGAAGAAGAGGGGACACATGTTGATGTAGAAGAGACATGAAGAAGAGGGGACACATGTTGATGAAGAAGAGACATGAAGAAGAGGGGACACATGTTGATGAAGAAGAGACATGAAGAAGAGGGGACACATGTTGATGTAGAAGAGACATGAAGAAGAGGGGACATATGTTGATGTAGAAGAGACATGAAGAAGAGGGGACACATGTTGATGAAGAAGAGACATGAGGAAGAGGGGACACATGTTGATGTAGAAGAGACATGAAGAAGAGGGGACACATGTTGATGAAGAAGAGACATGAAGAGGGGACACATGTTGATGAAGAAGAGACATGAAGAAGAGGGGACACATGTTGATGTAGAAGAGACATGAAGAAGAGGGGACACATGTTGATGAAGAAGAGACATGAAGAAGAGGGGACACATGTTGATGAAGAAGAGACATGAAGAAGAGGGGACACATGTTGATGAAGAAGAGACATGAAGAAGAGGGGACACATGTTGATGTAGAAGAGACATGAAGAAGAGGGGACACATGTTGATGTAGAAGAGACATGAAGAAGAGGGGACACATGTTGATGTAGAAGAGACGTGAAGAAGAGGGGACACATGTTGATGTAGAAGAGACGTGAAGAAGAGGGGACACATGTTGATGTAGAAGAGACGTGAAGAAGAGGGGACACATGTTGATGTAAGAAGAGAGACATGAAGAAGAGGGGACACATGTTGATGTAGAAGAGACGTGAAGAAGAGGGGACACATGTTGATGTAGAAGAGACGTGAAGAAGAGGGGACACATGTTGATGTAGAAGAGACGTGAAGAAGAGGGGACACATGTTGATGTAGAAGAGACATGAAGAAGAGGGGACACATGTTTATGAAGAAGAGACATGGAGAAGAGGGGACACATGTTGATGTAGAAGAGACATGAAGAAGAGGGGACACATGTTGATGTAGAAGAGACGTGAAGAAGAGGGGACACATGTTGATGAAGAAGAGACGTGAAGAAGTGGATTTTGCATAATAGGTAACCTTTAAATCTCTGTTCTTCGTCTTTCTTCCTCCTCTTCCTCTCCTCTCTGCAGGGCTTCTTCCGCAGAACCATCCAGAAGAACCTGCACCCGGCGTACTCCTGTAAATATGAGGGATGCTGTATCATCGACAAGATCACGCGCAACCAGTGCCAGCTGTGTCGCTTCAAGAAGTGCATCGCCGTGGGCATGGCCATGGACTGTGAGTATCGCTGAACATACAGAGATACAGGAGGTTATGGTTTCCAAAGAGCATCCTAAAGGAACAATTTGTACCCAAGTTACGGACACATCTGTCATGAAATCTGTCCAAATGCTGAACATGTGTCATATGTACAGAGATACAGGAGGTTAGGCGTCAAAAAGCACAGAGAAGGACTTCTTTTGCTCCAAAAACAAGGTGTTCTCACTTGAAATCAGTCAAATGTGCCAATAGAAAGTTGCTTGGGAAGATGTCTTGAGATAAGAGGGATATTTGATGAATCAGATCTTGTAATTAGCTGTGGGACTGTGAGTACAGAGATATATGGGGTTAGGCTGTCCAAAAAGCATCCAGAAGGAACATTTGTACCCAAGTTACGGACAAATCTGTCATGAAATCTGTCAAAATGCTGAAAGTCGGTCATATGTACAGAGTTACGTGAGGTGAGGCGGTCAACAAGCACAGAGAAGGACTTTTCTTTCCATGTTTACGGACAAAGCTGTCATGAAATCTGTGAAAATGCTGCTCCAAAAACAAGGTGTTCTCACTGAGTAAACAACTTTAGCTTGGTAAGATTTCTCGAGGTAAGACTGGATATTTAGATGAATCACATCTTGTAATTACAGGGTGTCCGCGGGGTCTTAAAAGGTATTACATTTGACTTCAGGATTCCTGCATATACCCTGAATTAGCTGGGGAAACTTATTTTGAGCAAAATCAGGATGGGTTGTGATACAAAGTAAGCCAGGAATGCTCAAAAGTGTTCTGTTTCCTGATGTTGGTTGGGGATTATCTAATACAAATGTTAAAAGAAACCTTTTTTCATCTGAGATACAACTCAAAATAAGATGTCTTTGACTTAACAAGATGATGCATTGTCTAAAAACAACAGAACTTGCTAAACTTTCGCATGTCGTTTTGAGCATGTGAGAATGCAGATGTTAGCATTTATAATTCCTTGTATTTATTATTATAGCGCTTTTCAATGACTCAAAGCGCTTTACAAATACATGTAACGGTCATGTACTGTGGACAATACCCACAGGAGCAAATTCAGGTGAAGTGTCTTGCCCAAGAACACAATGACTTTACAGACACAGCGGCGGCGGGTTTCGCCCCCTTGATCTGATGATCAATGCACAGCCCACTGCGCCACACCGCCCATCTTCACACCTCGGAGTCATCGAGGCGCTTTACAGATACACATTAGTATCATACATGTACTGTGGACAATACCCACAGGAGCAAATTCGGGTGAAGTGTCTTGCCCAAGGACACAACGGCCTGACGCAGTGGCAGCGGGAGCGGGTTTCGAACTGGAGTTCCCCAACACCCCCTTGATCTGATGATCAAACGCACAGCCCACTGCGCCACTCCGCCCCTCTCTTTAGCTCAAAGAGACATCAGCGTTACTCTTAATGAACTTTTTAATTTGGTAAAAACCCATTGATTCCTGGGATCCAGCAGTGTGGTCGAGATATACATCTAGAAAGAACATCCATTCAAGGTTTCTCCAACGCAATACGTTTTCAATTTGAGGAAAACAAAAAATTGCATGGCTATCATTTAATCACATTTAGATTATGATATGTTTATATAATTACAGTGATAAGATAATTAGATTTGTGGGTACAATAAAAACTATTGGTCCATTGATCCCAAATGAGATTATAGAAACTCGGAGGATGTTGCGTGCGAACATCTTCTGAAGAATCACAGATTCGGTTTATTTTTTAGAGATCATAAAGATTCATACGATGAGATCATGAGATCATGAGCGTCACTTTGTTAGAAAAACTAGTGGAGGGGACACTTTTTTTAAATTTAAAAACCAATAGAGCGGTGCAGGGATGACGTGTTCACCCTGAAGGAAGCTGCTGGTTCCCTCGACAAGAAAGCAACAGGGTTTCTCCAGAGGATTTAGGAAAATAGCTGGAAATAATGTCTGTGGAAAACGAACCTGTTTGATAAATGCACGTTTTGTTCAGCCGGATAATCTCCACACGTCTACCCTACTTTTATAATGTTCTAATCATAAATCTAGTATCCAGAAGCTAAATGCTAACGTTATGCTATAAAGGAACTACAGCCGAGTCCAGCAGCACGACTTCAACGTCACGCCAACTTCAGATCCATATTCAAACACACAGATTCTAAATGGAACGAGTTGAAGCGTTTGTTTGAACAGTTTGCAGGAGGCAGGTACTTGCTTTCAAGCAGAACAGGGCTAACACACTTAGAGGAGTGTTTACGTGTTCGGTGTAATGACGTACAACGTCCTCCACGACTTCTGTAGTCCTATTCAGCCACTTGGTAACAACCATCGTTTTTCAGACACGTGAACTCTTCAGAAATCACCAGCGGGGTCACTGCTGATGGATTTAATGTCCTAGAACAAAACGTGATCCGTCTCTTCAATGTGTCTCAACCACAGACCTTATTTACAGCTACTTTCTAAAAACTAGTTCTAAAAACCCATTGGCTCTGAGACGAGGGAACAGGAAGTGGTGAAATGCTAACTCACTTCCGGGTTTTAGGACTCATTCCTGCACCACTCTATACTGCATTTAGCGCCCCCTCAGACGATACATACATATACAGTAAACATACATATGCTTACAATACTTTATTTGACAACTAGTTCAGTAACTACGCTGCTGCAGAGATATTCTCTATTCAGTTATGACTCATATTAAACGTGTCCTCCAGATTGTACATTTCTCTTGTGCAGATAAACCTTTTTCAAAGTGTACAATTCTTTGTGCACGCAATGTTTTAGACCATTTTTAACAAATGATCGTGATGCAAAGTGGTGGAGACAAAATTGGCCATTTCCAAAAGTGATGGAAACGTGTTCCCAGTGTCTGAAATTAAGATGTTTTCAAGAGTCTTTGACTTAACAAAATGATGCATTGTCTAAAAACAAGAGCCTATATCTCACTGCTTGTTGCTCCTTCAGTTATGAGGTCTTATATCGAGTCTGAAGACACTTTCTGTGTAAAGATTAGACTAGTACACTTGCTTAGATTTTGAGTTTTTGTAGCTTCATACTTTTTAATCCTAACTGGGACTTTACAAGGGTTAACGTGCGCGTTACCTGTGCTATTAATAAACAATCATTCGAGGCATCTGAAGTAGTTTTACCCACGTTGTTCTCATTTCAAAGCAACATCTTATACAGCAGGTATCACATTAGTGTGTATTGTGTGTGCTCACAGGTGTACACACACACACGGTGGTTATTTAGAGAGGGAGCTAACAGAGAACACACACATCATCAGAGAGAACACACACATATAATCTCATTTCATGGTCAGGATGATATTAAATTAATGCAGCAGCACAGCTGCTCCTGTGTAGAGAGGAAATGGTTTCCTATCACGATAAGAAACACACAGCTTTTTATTAACTAGATGTGTGTGTGTGTGTGTGTGTGTGTGTGTGTGTGTGTGTGTGTGTGTGTGTGTGTGTGTGTGTGTGTGTGTGTGTGTGTGTGTGTGTGTGTGTGTGTGTGTGTGTGTGTGTGTGTGTGTGTGTGTGTGTGTGTGTGTGTGTGTGTGTGTGTGTGTGTGTGTGTGTGTTCCCCATGTGCACAGCGGCAGATTTAATACGTCTGGCCGAGCGTAAAGAGTGTGTGTGTATCCTTTTGCCTGTCTGTAAATCACTGGATGTTTTGGAGGTCATCTGGAGGCTGGAGTCTGTAGAAAAAATGTGTTTCAGTCTTATTTATTTATTTATTTATTTATTCCATCCTAGTGTGCAGTGTGTGAGTCTGAAGAAATTAATAAAGAAAGTTATACAGAAATAAAATAAGTTTGGGAAAAATATATATATATTAAATAAATACAAAAGAAATTACAAAATAATGTCAAACAAAGAGAGGACAGAGAAAATAAAATAGGAAAGTAAAAAAAGAAGGCAATGACAGAAACATAAATACAAATATATGTAAGAAAATATATCGTATTAGTTCTAAGAATGTTGAATATCTATTTTAATTATATAAATCTGCTCTTTTGTTGCGAAATTAGGTTGAAATTCTGTGACACGTGTTGTGTGTCTGCAGGAAATGTGAGGTTTAGGTGATTATATATTTAGTTAAATATACATAAAATATGTTCTCAGTTAACATTACGCTGTGTTTGGCTCTTTTCTGCTGTAACAAATGTACATTTCCCCTCTGTGGGACGAATAGAGGGATTCTGATTCTGGAAACAGAGTTATAGGATTCAAGTCCTCAGATATCTCAGATTAAAAACAGTCCTCCAGTCAGAGTGCATGATGGCATTTAGCCCGTAGCCTGTAGCATGTAGCATTAACGCCTGTTACGTCTTTCATCCTCTTAGTGGTTCTGGATCTCAGATTAAAAACAGTCCTCCAGTCAGAGTGCATTATGGCATTTAGCCCGTAGCATGTAGCATGTAGCATTAACCCCCGTTACGTCTCCCCTCCTCTCAGTGGTTCTGGACGACTCTAAGCGCGTGGCGAAGCGTCGTCTGATCGAGGAGAACCGTCAGAAGAGGAAGAAGGAGGAGATGGTCCGGACCCTTCAGACCCGGCCGGAGCCCGACTCCCCCGAGTGGGACCTGATCCGCATGGTGACGGAGGCGCACCGGCACACCAACGCCCAGGGGGCCGCCTGGAAGCAGAAGCGCAAGTTCCTGGTGAGCATTTACGTTCAAAAACACCTGTTTGATATAAAACCATCTTGCAATCTACTTATTTATCTAAATAGTTATCACCGCAATAAACCGTATTCAACCCATAAGAACCTGGACCCATTTCTACTCTTGGGAAAATGATGGGGAACATCATTTAGACTTATTGACCACATAGAACACATTTCTGACAATTAACCCCCCCTAGTGTCAAAGATCTGAAAAGTGACATGTCACCTTGAGCAAGCATTATCATTCTTAAATGGCTTCAAGTTCCTGGTGAGATTTCAGTTTGAAAACACGTGTTTGATATATAACCATCGTATTGTGAAGCACCTTAAGATGACGTTGTTTTTAAAGTGTGCTATATAAATGAAATGTATTATTATTACTCATAGTTATATAAATAGTTATCACCAGGGGGCCGCATGGAAGCAGAAGCGCAGGTTCCTGGTGAGACAAACACGTGTTTGATATAAAAACAAACATGTTTTTTAGAGCTCTTATAGGTTTTTGATCCTAGCCCTTTAACCTGTTAAGCCCTGAGCCTGTTTTTCAGGTCTCAGGCTCGAAAATGCCATTCCCAGAACAAATGACCATATCTTCCCTTCTAAAAGGGTTAAATTAATAATCTTTATTCTCAAAGTAATGATAAACCTGTGAGTTGGATGTAGAAAAGTCTGAATCAATATAGATGTTTTTTATTTTAAAGAAAATTCAGATTTTACATGTAACTGTAAATTATAGTGTCCGTCCAAAAGTTATTTTTTACAGATAGTGAAAACTACCCTTGGATGATGGGTTAGTAGACTAAAAGCTTTAGGAATCCAAAGTACAACATATAATAAGTACCCTGTATCAAGATTGATGCAAAACAAGTGACATTTGACCTTTTTAGAGAGATATAGCAAAAAGAAACCACTTCTGGGGTCATTTGGGTGGATTTTTCATATCTCTGGCCCCCCTTGCTCGATTTTGATGGTTGACACCTCTTTCTGACCGTTAGAGCCAATAGAATCGAAGGGGGAGGCCCCCACACACACTCGTTGTGAAAACAAATGCCCAAATCAATGAAACTCCGTACCATGTTTTCACTGCTACTTTGTACCAAGGCAGATTCTCACATAGCGCTCGCATGTTCAAGGAGTGTTGTCATAGTTGGACAGCTCAGATCTGTTGTATGAAGCGATGCCAGTAGCGGAGGTAAGGCACACACACCAAATGTTCAGGAAATGGTTAATACAGCGAAAATCAAAGCTGACGATCTCTTGGTTTGATATGTTTTCTCCCCCAGACAACATGGACATGAGAACATTTTTTTCAAAGAAGAGGAAAGTAAGTCATCAGCTGGTAGCAGTTAATCAGTTAACAGTGATGGCGGCGTCTCAATTCTGGAGAGGAGTTTCGTCTTTATGTCATGATAGAGAGATACAAATACTGAATAGTTTAGAAAAGGCATCGAAATGCCAGGTTACTAGTATTTATCATGTAAACAGGGAACATGAATAACCAGATCTCTCTGTGCTCATGTAAACACCATATCCCCAATATGATCATAACCAGGATAATACTCATAAACGGCTTACTGATGTCCATGTAGAGACGCAGTCAGTGTGTTTTACTGGAGCCTCAGTTCGATAAGAGATTCTTTTCTGAGTTCTTTAACTTAGGTACTCTCTCTCAAAATGGTAATGTGCATTATGTTTTAATTATACTTCTTATCATTCAGAAGCTTTTTGTGTGTGTTTATGTTTTACTGAGTGCTTATAGGCTATTTCCATCCCAGTATTCAGTTAACTATTTATTTTCTGTGCACATTACATAGACTAGCTAATATTCTACCTACTGCTTGGGACTTTGAGTCTTCAAAATGTCCAATGTCACAGACTGGGACTTACTTTAGAGTCAGTTGTATTTACATTCAGTATGACTTGTTATGATTCAATGTGAAAGAGTATACTGCTCAATAAATAATTATCACTTCACCACCTCTCTTGACATCTAGGCGCTTGAGAGTCAGTCAGAGGCAGAATACAGGGACAGTGGAGAGAGGTCCATTGCTGAGGTGAGTGATGAAAGGGAAATGACAGTTGAGAGTAAATTGTGATGTGGACTCTCATCCCAGGATTTTAAGGAAATCAGTGGGGATATTGAACAGGAAACATTTCAGTCAAGGGGCATCATATGACCAATATAGACAGAAGAGCAACATTTATTTGAACATTTAAGTCAATGATACCATTCCTAGGTGAACTTAACATCCGTATGGAGTCAGATCAGTCTCAATATTAAACTGCTTTTTATTAATTCAAAGACAGCTCTGAATTAATAATCAAATATGTTTCCTTTCTTTACTACTGGATGAAATTACAAAATGTACCCATCATTTCCCTCATGCTAGTATAGCCACATAAAAGTATCAAACCACCTGTTCAAATGCACCAGAATACAGGAAATCAATTTTTTTTTTCGCCCCCACACCCCCCGTTAAAAATGTCCCCCCCACATTCAGGATGCTTCCTACGCCCATGCATATGAGGTATTTGCTTTGGTATTAGTGATGCATACAAAGACACAGAAAGCAGAGTACGTAGCAAACCATAGTACTATTATAAAAGATATTTCAAAAACGTTTTCAAGACGATTGTAACAAATAAAAAATAAGGACAATATTTACACAAAATATGAATATGTGAGAAACTGAGTAGAGTAAAATATAATCAAATATGACAACTATTTTCAAAGTCAAGCGAGAAACTAAAGCATTGGTATGTAAAATCTACAAAAGGCTCAACTCCTCACTGGCTTTTGAGTTCTTGCCAAATGGACTCGACATAATCCATGAAAGCACAATGTAAAATTTACGCAAGGGATATAATTAATTATGTCATATTTTCATTAATAGCCGTCTGTTTAGGATTACAGCGTGTAATCCCTCACACTCTGTGAACCCGTCCTTTTGATTTGTAGTAATAACTTGCAGTGTACACACAGAAGTTCATTCCTTCTTTCATGTGCTGCAGCTCATTAATCCAAAATCCTCCACCCACAGAACGCAAATCTCCACTTTGAAAATCACACTAGCTCGAACATGAAAGGCAACGACTTCTCTCCATTTTTTCAAAAGAAACCGATTTGACAGCTCTGCCTTTCATCAGCGACTCAATCTGTGGCGCTCCGTGATAATCCAGGGAGGCACGAGCAGATGTCTCCACAGCTGATGGGTGCCTTAAACAAAGTTGAGATGGAAGTAAAGTCATTATATAAATGCAAAGATCGAGGGGTGTGATTCTCGCTTGGGTCGTGAGAGGTCGAATCCCGGAAGAGCCCCCAATTTTTTCACAACCCGACTTTGAGGCCAAGACAAAAAAGGTGAAAGGACACATTGGGTGAGGGTGGATTTAAGTATTTATTTTATTTAAAGAAGACCTATTATGCTTTTCAGGGTTTCCCCTTCCCTGTAGTGTGTTCCATGGGTTTTTAGTGCATGTAAATGGTCTGCAAAGGCTAAAATTCTCTTCTCTTTGTTTACTCCCGGAACAAAGTGGCATCACTATGGAACACTCGCGCTCCAACACATTGTACGTGATAGGCTAAGAGGCGGGACATCTCTAAGCGGTTGACCAATCACAACAGAGCCGGCCAGCTAACCAATCAGAGCAGACTGGGCTCTGGTTTCAGACAGAGGGTGAAAAGAGGTGCTGCAGCACATTAAAGCATGGAGACATGTCCCAGCAGAGACACTACGTAAGGGACAATGTGCAGCGACGCCGTCATTATGGGGAAAAGAACACCGACAGGCTGATCAGGAGCCCGACGCGAAGCGTTGTATGTATTGATTTAAATTGACATGCATCCACTAAGGAAAATAGTCCGTTGTTACCGTTTGAAAAACGTAGCAACGGCAGGAAGGCGGAGCTTTTTGATTACAGATTTGAAAACATCGTTGCTTGCTTTAAAAGTATCACAATTCATGATGTCAAACCTTGGGAAGTATCTAGATGTCCCTGCCCTAATGCCAAAGGAACTGGCAACTGAATATGTTTTGCCGTTTGATGTCTATGTCTGGACCGCTGCGTAAAAAGGAGGGTTTCTGCCCCGTTACTTCTCTGCTGTTTTCTTGTCGCTCTTGTCTTGTCAGTTAGAAAAGCAAACTGCATGCACTTTGCTTTTCGGCCAAACTGTATACAGTTCAATCGAACAGACTTGTTTGTGCAGATGTGAGCGTCCTTAACAACGGTCAATAAGTCCTTGACAGCGGTCTGTCTGTTCTGGATTAACAACGTGTCACGTGTTCTGAATTGACCAATCAGAATCGAGTATTCAACTAAGCCATGTCATAAATACTGATATACACCTGAACATCAGCAGGAGAGGACTCTTTAAAGTAGAGACACTACATACTGATATACACCTGAACATCAGCAGGAGAGGACTCTTTAAAGTAGAGACACTACATACTGATATACACCTGAACATCAGCAGGAGAGGACTCTTTAAAGTAGAGACACTACATACTGATATACACCTGAACATCAGCAGGAGAGGACTCTTTAAAGTAGAGACACTACATACTGATATACACCTGAACATCAGCAGGAGAGGACTCTTTAAAGTAGAGACACTACATACTGATATACACCTGAACATCAGCAGGAGAGGACTCTTTAAAGTAGAGACACTACTTACTGATATACACCTGAACATCAGCAGGAGAGGACTCTTTAAAGTAGCGACACTAGATACTGATATACACCTGAACATCAGCAGGAGAGGACTCTTTAAAGTAGAGACACTACATACTGATATACACCTGAACATCAGCAGGAGAGGACTCTTTAAAGTAGAGACACTACATACTGATATACACCTGAACATCAGCAGGAGAGGACTCTTTAAAGTAGAGACACTACATACTGATATACACCTGAACATCAGCAGGAGAGGACTCTTTAAAGTAGAGACACTACATACTGATATACACCTGAACATCAGCAGGAGAGGACTCTTTAAAGTAGAGACACTACATACTGATATACACCTGAACATCAGCAGGAGAGGACTCTTTAAAGTAGAGACACTACATACTGATATACACCTGAACATCAGCAGGAGAGGACTCTTTAAAGTAGAGACACTACATACTGATATACACCTGAACATCAGCAGGAGAGGACTCTTTAAAGTAGCGACACTACATACTGATATACACCTGAACATCAGCAGGAGAGGACTCTTTAAAGTAGAGACACTACATACTGATATACACCTGAACATCAGCAGGAGAGGACTCTTTAAAGTAGAGACACTACATACTGATATACACCTGAACATCAGAGAGGACTCTTTAAAGTAGAGACACTACAAACTGATATACACCTGAACATCAGCAGGAGAGGACTCTTTAAAGTAGAGACACTACACACTGTCTAAATAAATGAGAGTGTGTGAGTATCATAACAATTGGATAAAACAAAGATAATAATTGTCCATATCCCAAACCGGTCGATCCCGAAGACGTTGGGTGATATGTAAACGTTCTTAGATATATTTGCAGCGGTGTGTGTGGTTTTCATATGTTCAAGTTCTCTAACTTCCACAGGCTCTCTTTGCTCCTTTTGGTCAAATAAATGAACTCCTGATTTGTTGGAAAGGAAATTAACTTGAGAAGGATTCATGTTCAAGTTCCTCTCTAGCTGAATGTCTCCGTTAACCGTGTATGCTGTCTTGTTTCCAGTCGGATGATATCGGTCAGGGTCCGATGATTCCCACTTCAGACGGAGACAAGGTGGACCTGGAAGCCTTCAGCGAGTTCACGAAGATCATGACCCCCGCCATCACACGCGTGGTGGACTTCGCCAAGAAACTACCAATGTTCTCAGAGGTACGTACTGTCGTGTCAAACTATCATATCATCATTTCAAACATATAGTCTTATACTCTGATTGCCTTTTACTCTGTTAACTTGTATTTGTTGACTTGTACGTGTTTAACAGAGACATATGTTAAGGATATACATTGTAATGGTTTAATGATGGGATGTAGGAGCAGCTGTTTCCTCTCATGAATACACAGAGAGACTGTGAGCAGAACTTCTTTCTCCTCTGAGGATGAAGCTGCTCTGTTCCTGCATTTCAGATCCATTTCACTTTTTATTGACTTTCTTTATCACTTTATTAAATATAACAAAAGACAAACTTTGTCTATGAATCATTGATCAGTTTCTCTGAAGAGTTTCCTCCACATGTACGAGGAGGAACTCAGTATTATAATTAAGTAAAACAAGCAATATTACGTTGTAGAAATATTCTGTGACGAGTAAAAATCCTGCATTTAAACGCTTAGTATCGGCATCAGAATACAACCAGTAAAGGTTCTTGTTATGCAGTAAATATCAAATTAAAGATTCTTGTAACTTATTTATCTATATATCATATTCCATTATATAGACTCTTCTGGCACTATTTCTATTTTATTTGTATTTACTTCTTCATCTGAAAACATTCTCTTGCACTATTTTATCGGTTTTATTAGTTTTATGTCCTATATATATTCATGCTGCTCTGTTGGAGGAGGTGTGTGGTGCAGTGGGTTGTGCGTTGATGTTCGGATCAGGGGGTCACAGGTTCAAACCCCACTGCAGTCAGCATGTCGTTGTGTCCCTGAGACACTTCACCCCAAATTGCTCCTGTGGGGATTGTCCACAGTATTGAGTATGTAAGTCGCTTTGGATAAAAGCGTCTAACAAGTGACATGTGATGTAATTATGTAACATATCTACACTGTAGCTGCTGAGCACATGATGATAGAGACATGAATCTTGAAACTTGAATCTAAAGTAAGTGGCAGATTCATTATAGTTAGTGAAGAACCAGTGTCAGTATCAATAAGTAATAACATCCTATGGTTCATCTGGGGTCATTTCTGAAGGCGTTAACATTGTGTGTCCTCATTTAAGACAGACACTTAAGTGGGGAAGTCTGTCAGTGATTTGGACCCAGCTTCTGTTTGTGTGCTGACAGTTGAGCGTCTCGTTAACTTCAGACGTGTCTCCTGAGCGCCGTGTGCTAACGAGCTGTTGATTGGAAACTTCCTCTTCCTGTCTGTCAGCTCATATTACACTAAGTAATGAAACCCTGCCTGTCTCTCCATGACTCACCGCTGTGTGTGTGTGTGTGTGTGTGTGTGTGTGTGTGTGTGTGTGTGTGTGTGTGTGTGTGTGTGTGTGTGTGGTCTGTGGTTCCACTTTACTGATTGCTGTCATGTATATTCTAGGGGCTTCCCGGTTACGTGTAACGGGGGATTCGTTAGGAAATAGAAAATAACCTTTTTTCCTGTAAGGAAGCGCTCGAAGGTAATCAGTGTTTGTGGGAAGTGAAGACATGCTATCAGACCACAGCTCACTGTTCATTTAAAAGGCAGATTCTTCTTCAGTTTTGCAATTTGCTGAAGGCTTTTTACTGGTTTGCATATTGAGCCCAGTAAAATGAACTAAAGTCATCAAAAATCCTCCAATATCAGTTAAACTCCATGATATTTAGCTGTATTTTACACTGTTATTTTCAGCTAGCGTTCACAAGAATTGCAGAAATCTTTTTGGGATAAAAGCTAAACCACTGTAAAGGCAACACGGCCATCTGGAAACACAAACAAACACATGTACAGTATATATCCCTGATAACGGTGATATGGATAGCTGCTTAGCAAACAGCTGTCTGTTTTTACATCCAGCAACACAAGCAGGACGACATCTGCATTTATTTTGAAAATCCTCCAACGCTCGTTTGTTGGAAACCTCAGAGCAGAAAGAAAACAACGTGAAAATATTAATTTTAGTTTGGCCACTTTGGGGGCGGACGAAACTCAGACAGTCAGTCAGACTGACATATCACGTTAATTGAAAGAAAAATGACCAATTTGTTATTTTAATTATTTTTAAAACAACTTTGCCAATATCTTAAAAATGACTCAATTATTTGAAAAAAAGCCTTAATTTCTTTTAATTACCTTTTGAAATGTCTTATTTTGTGAAAACATATATTTTTTATTGATTCAATATTCGAAAAACTCACCTTACTTTTAAAATGTATGACAAAAAAAAGAAATGAAGTAGTTTTTGAAAAAGAAAATGACAGAAATCATTACATTTTTCTAAAATAACGAAACAAATTTAAAATACTTAATTATTGTAAAACCAACTTATTTAAAAAAAATTGCTTATTTTTTGAAAAGTGACTTAGGTGCAATACTTTGTTTCACATGCTGCTGCAACAACAAAAATGGCCCAATTTGGGTTCAATAGCGTATATCTTATCTTATCCGAAAACTTTCCTTACTTTTCAAAAATAAGATCATCCATTTAAAAAACAGAAAGAGGCAAAAGTCTGCTTACTTTTACGACAAACTTCTTTAAAATGAAATATGCCGACCGGAGGAGATGTTGATGTGTTATTTTCTGATGATGTGTTTCAGCTGTCCTGTGAGGATCATCCTGCTGAAGGGCGGCTGCATGGAGATCATGTCTCTGAATATAAAGATTGTTATTAAATGTAATAATAACTATGTGTTTCAGCTGTCCTGTGAAGACCAGATCATCCCCCTGAAGGGCGGCTGCATGGAGATCATGTCTCTGAATATAAAGATTGTTATTAAATGTAATAATAACTATGTGTTTCAGCTGTCCTGTGAAGACCAGATCATCCTCCTGAAGGGCGGCTGCATGGAGATCATGTCTCTGCGCGCCGCCGTGCGCTACGACCCGGAGAGCGAGACGCTGACACTGAACGGAGAGATGGCGGTGAAGCGAGAGCAGCTGAAGAACGGAGGGCTGGGCGTGGTGTCGGACGCCATCTTTGATTTGGGCAAAAGCCTGGCTCAGTTCAACCTGGACGACTCGGAGGTGGCGCTGATGCAGGCCGTGCTGCTCATGAGCTCAGGTCAGGAAGAAATTAGGTTATACACTGTATATCATTATAATGAGTTATTATGTTCTGCATTTAGTGTAGAGATGTCAATATGTAGGTATGAAACGAAAAGGACGAAAAGAAAAAAGAAATCTGAAAAGTCAGAATGTTGAGAAAAAAATCAGAATTTTGAGGAAAAAATCAGAATTTTGAGGAAAAAAGTCAGAATTTTAAGATTTTGAGGAAAAATGTCAGCATTTTAAGATTTTCAGAAAAAAGTCTGAATTCTGAGATTTTCGGAAAAAAATCTGAATTTCAAAAATATCAGAATTTTTCGAAAAACCCAGAATTCAAAGCGTGTTTTGAACCCACTCATCCTAACTCGCTTTTCAGATTTTCAGAAAATAGCTAGAATTCTGATCTTTTCTGATAAAAGTCAACATTTCGTGATTTTCTGAAAAAAGTCAGAATTTTAAGATTTTCAGAAAAATTTCAGAATTTCCATGAAAAAGTCAGAATTCTAAGCGTGTTTGAACGCACTCATCCTAACTCGTTTTAAGGCAAATGTAATGTACCCTCCCTCCCCCCGCAGACCGCTCAGGACTCACCAACATAGAGAAGATCGAGCAGTGTCAGGAGGCGTACCTGCTGGCCTTCGAACACTACATCAACTTCAGGAAGCACAACATTCCCCACTTCTGGCCCAAGCTTCTGATGAAGGTGACGGACCTTCGGATGATCGGAGCGTGCCACGCCAGCCGCTTCCTGCACATGAAGGTGGAGTGTCCCAACGAACTCTTCCCCCCTCTCTTCCTGGAGGTCTTCGAGGACCAGGAAGTGTGACTTTAGGAACGTTTCCACCACAACACCCCCTTTAAAAAGAACCCTAAACATGGAAGGAAATACATTTAAGGGGGGGTTAGCTGTGGTGAAAGAACAAAAGAAGTAGGACAAAAACTGGAATTGACATTTTTTTTTTATTCAGTGGGAACGTACCCTGTGAACTTCGTTTTTTGTCCTTTTCTTCTCACAAAACCCAGCACCTGCCACCAGCAAAATCGCATCGACTTCACTTGAGCGAAATACACACTGACAGGTACACACACACAATTAATAGATGTAGATATAGAGTGGTGCAGGAATGAGTCCTATAATCCCTGGAATGAATCGGCATTTTCGCACTTCTTGTTCCCTTTACTTGGAGGTCAATGGTTCCCTGAATGTGTTATTGGTTCTTATCCTGATATAAGGTCTGTAGTTAACACAAGCTGAAGAGATTTTTATTCTACGACATATAATACGTCAGTAAATACCCCTCTGGTGGATTTAAAAACGGAGGTTGCTAACAAGTGTCTAAATGAGACGACTAAACGTCGTCACGCCCAACATTAGCCGCCTTTAGCTTAGCATTTAGCTTAGCTTAAAAACTGTGGTTGCTAACAAATGTCTAAATGAGACTTCAAAACGTCATCATATTAGCCGTAAGCATCAGAGATTTCTTTCTGCTATAATCCCAAATTCACATGGAGTAATCCCATTGGACCACAGGAGATGCTGCCTTCAGGGGAAATAGGTCATCCCTGTACCACTCTATCCTAAGACTCCTAACAAACTGCCAGGACAAATATATGCAAACTCCAGCCTCCTCAGTTATCTCCTGTTGCACCTGTATGGACTAGCAGCTGCACTCTCGATAATGCAACCCCCCGTCTCCCACCTCAACCACAGCAAAGTGTTTTATCTCTGGGACCTGACCATCAACTCTCCTTAATGGCGTCATCCATCTAATCCCCCTTCAGTCTGAGTGTTTGTCAACCTACCTCCCCCCCACATACTGACCTCCGTCTGAAACACATCCAACACTCTTACCTCATTATGTAGTCAGATGTATTTCCACATTACTGAGTCTTCAGTTAATGCTGGTGTTAGGAGACACTACAGTGGGAACACTGGTATGAAGCCTTTATCTACAGTGTAGGTCCACTGGTTGGTCCTTTTGGTGGCAGCAGAGTTATTTAACCAATTAGTCATTATTTTATGCTTTTACATGATTCTTAGTGGAGATACTCAATTGTATTCATCAGTCAACAAAATCCCATTAGCATCAAAATACTCGATTAAAAATGGACAGCGCTAATTATTTATGCTTTCATGACTGCATGACACATTGAGATGCATTAAGAAAGCTGCAGTGTGCATCCTTATGTCATAAAACTGCAGAAATATTGGTAAACTTCAGCATTTTAAGTGTTATATCATTTTTTTAGATTAAATCAATATGCTAAAATGTAATTATACATTTTCAGCCTTTTCAGAATAAAGTGCATTGTAGCTAAAGGCTAAATATGAAGTGTTTCCACTGCTTTTATTGTACGGTATCACTTACTGTACTTAAAAATATAGCTAGGTTACTTTATTTAAAGAACATTTTAAATGCATGACTACATCTGCATCATGCTACTTAATAACACTAACAAATAATAGAGTACTTATAAAATATATGAATATATATATTAACACAATACCTCTCCGCCTCATACCTCCTTCATTACCTCACACTCATGAATATTACACCCAGTTGTTTTTATTTGTATGGATTACCTCATTTGTTAGTTTTGTCTTCTGATTGGTCCATCGCTGGCAGATAGTGATGGTGATGTCACTAAACTCTGCAAGCCCCTCCCCCCCTTCACCTGTATCAACAGATTCTACCTCACCTGTCATCTCCGTGGAGCTGCCCCTCTGTCTGTGACACACACACAAACACACACTCACACACACACACACACACACACACACACACAAACACACACAAACACACACACACTCACACACACACACACACACACACACACACACACAAACACACACAAACACACACACACACACACACACACTCAGTGCATAGATGGCCAATGTGGACCCGTTCTCGGTCAGTGTACAGCGGGACGTGGATCAACACTTTCTCCCAATTTTCATTTTATCACCCAACACGAGGGACCAACTTCTTTTAGTTTTTTTTGTAGGAATCTGCAATGACAACGAGGCGGGGGGGGGGGGGGTTGAATTTCTGGAATCACAGTGTGCCGATTAAAAAGGAAACTGTCAAGCTGGGACTCCAGTGGAAGCCATTTTGGCCCGATTGGGTCAGACCAAACGGACAATTGTGGGTGGTGACTGGGAGATAAAGTGAGTCAGCAGTATTCGCCTGTGGATATGGCCGAGGAGGGGGAGGGGAATGGCATTATGTCTCCAATAAAAACAAAAAAACGCCACTCAGAAACGGACCCTTGTCTCGCCGTCGCAGCAGAAATGGACTCTGAGCGACCTTCCTATCCCGGAAACCATGAGATCAACACTGCTGAAAAACAAGCTCCACCAACCATATCCCAAAATGCCATCCACTATAAAAAATAACTATCAGGTTTTTTTCTGTTGCACTAAAACCACAATGTCTGTATCCCTTAGTACCCTTCCCTTTATCCCCCCCCCCCCCCCAATCCCTCCTGCTCCCACCTGTCTTAACAATAGAGTTCTGCAGGAATGAGTCCTAAACCCTGGAATGAGTCAGCATTTTCCTGTTCCCTCGTCCGGAAGTCAATGGTTTTCTGGATGTGTATTTGGTCCAATAACTGGTGAAATACGTCAGTTAATACCAAAATGGTGGATTTAAAAACAGAGGTTGCCAACAAGTGTCTAAATGAGACAATTAAACATCATCACGCCCAACGTTAGCCTCCTTTAGCTTAGCCTTTAGTTTAGCCTTTAGCTTATCTTAAAAATGGCCGTTGCTGACAATCGCTAAATGAGACGACTAAACGTCATCACGCCCAACATTAGCCACCTTTAGCTTAGCCTTCAGCTTAGCCTTTAGTTTAGCCTTTAGCTTAGCCTTTAGCTTAGCCTTTAGCTTAGCTTAAAAAAGGCGGTTGCTAATAAATGTCTAAATGAGACTTCAAAACGTCATCACGTTAGCCGCCTTTAGCTTAGCGGCGGTGATGTGTAAGTAGCCACAAAGCCACTAATATCTGCAATAATTCAAAATCCAATGGAAAAATCATATTGTTTTTTTCTGGAGGGAACCAGGAAAATGCTGCCTTCAGGGTCCACTACAGAAAAAGGACACGCCCTCTGAAACACACACATGGAAACACACCATATATCTCTGGATGACCTGTTGACAGCAGCAGGATCTGTGACACGGCTTCAGGATGCGCCATCAGTGTTACTAATCTACATTGCAGGGTATTAAAATAGAACCGTAAGCACTGATTATACACACACACACACACACACACACACACACACACACACACACACACACACACACACACACACGCACACACACACACACACACACACACACACACACAGCAATAGGATGATCAGCATCTCAGCAGCCATCTCCAGGCTGTCTGTGCTCACTATCACTGTGAAGAAACTCCGACGGGGAACCGCTGGCTCTGTAACTCTACATGTGCCTCACAGAGGTCGCTAATACAAATATACAGTATACAGAAGCATATATTTATAGATATATATACATGTTACAGTTATTATATGTGCTATCATTGGTTGAGTTAACGCTGCCAGCTCAAATCATGCATCCGTTGTTGTAGCAGAGGGTTCATAGAAGAATATATAAATAATATTTATGCATCATTGCAGTCATATGATGCTAGTTTGCCTTGTCGTCATCACCAACTAACCTTGGAAGTTTACCCACCTCTTGCATACCTCTAAAGTCACGTCATACAGCACAAAACAAGAAGTACCTTAAGCAGAAACACATCTCTTTCTCCTCCTCGCACGGGAGTACACTCATCTTAGATTTAGGATTTGAGCTGGCAGCCCTCTCTATCTCTTTCTCTTTCTCTCAGCCAAATGATCACTGGAGTAATCCTCCCTTCCCCCCCAACACACACCAGCACCACAGAGCACACTGCCTTCCGCCATGATCAGTTGCACCAGCATAGCAGAGAGAAAGAAGTAAGTCACCGTCCTCCAACACCCTCGATCTTCATTTTTACCTGGACATGCTAATGCTAGGCTAATGAGTGCATGACTCGAAATGCACGAAAAGTAATGAAAAAGCTTCTCATTCTAACAATTGCATTCACAATAAACAGCATGAAACGTATGACTGTCTAAGATTCATGACTCTTATTATTAGAATTTCGACATTTAGCTTTTAATTTCGATTTTCTTTTTTATATATATATATACTTTTTACTTTTCAGATTGTTTGACTTTTTTTTCGAAATTGTGACTATTTTTAAATCCGAAATTTTTTCAGATTTCTAAATTACTTTTACAGTTCTGTCTTTTAAAGATTTATAAAACCTTTTTTTTTGTATGACTTTTTTTGGGATTCTTTTGACTTTATGCCAATTTTAGACTTTTTTATAATTCAATTTTTTTTAAAGACTTCAATTTCTTTTTTCAAGTTTGACTCTAACCTTCTAACCTAGAAATCCAATTTATGGTAGTCCTGCAGGAATTATTTCTACATAGATTCAACAGTCCTACATACACTGTTTTGCAAAAGCAGTGATTTCGAGGCTTCGTCTGTCGCCTTCACCTTCAGCAAAATATAAGCAAAAAGTATTTTCGGCTCAGAAGTGTCTCTCTTTTAACTGTCTCTCCGATCAAAGTCAAGGTTTATGTTACGTTTACAATAAGCTACAAATGTGAACTTGATGCTAAGCTGTGCTGCTGCAGCGAAGCACAAACTACAACACTCAGAAGCAGATCATGCAACTTCTTACAACAAATAACTTATTACTTACCCAGGGAAACATCTGTAAGTCAGCATCCTTTCCTCACATCTTCTCCCGTCCTTCCAACACCCCAATTTACAATCCAATATTTATTTCACTCTGTCCTCTTAGTATGCAACTACTTCCCTTTCCTCACAGAAACCTACCCCAGCTCATTCTAGCACTCTTTTTGTGGAGATGGTCGACAATCCCTGCAGGAATATGTCCACATGTGGAATGTAAAATACTGAAATTGTACGATTAAAGACACTGTGTGAAGATCCACACTCATGTTGTTGATGTTGCTTTCGTTGTGCACCAAGTGTTCGTTGTTGCGCTTAAATCTAAGGTTGAAAGCAAGCGGGGTAAAACCTCCATCGTGTGAAAGAGTGCTACTGAAATGTCCTTTTTATTCTTTGATATGGTATGTTTATAAATGACCTGTGGTGTGAGGAATTGAAAACCTCTGAAGCAAGAGATGAAGTGACTTTGTTTTGGAAAGAGAAAAATGATTATTCTTTTAATGTCGTTATCAATTTGCATCTCATTTTCTTGGTAAGTGAATGTCTGTCTATCTGTGTTGATGCTTTACTGTGATAAAATGGCTGTATATGCACTTTCAGACCATCGTTGGTGCAGTATCTAGTGCTCAAATGTCACCTTAGGGCCAGGGTTCACATCACCTTCAGTTCAGCTGAAAATATGTCTGCATGAAAAACAGCCTGCTATTCAATTTCTGGGACATGTGATCGGATTTAGCATTTTAAAAAGTGTTAGTTGCCTTATTCTGTTTTTATAATCTGTGATGAAATGTGTTAAACATCGATAATAACATTATGAAATTCATTTAGAGGAGTAGGCCCATTGGTTCATTACTATATCTGATGAGAGTTTTAGCATCAGAGCTAGCTTTGTGTACGGTAGCACTTTAAAATATGCTATGTTCTCATAGATGACTTGCATTATTCAAAGTATAACCTTTATAATAACATAACAAGGCATTATGATTTGGACCCATACTGTTGAGTTTTCAAAAAAACACATTTTCAAGTTTTTTAGCTAACATTTAGGTTTTCCCGCCTTTTTTTGTTAGCTTCCACCACGGCTACATATGCTAGCCTGGACACTGTAAACATATATCGTAAATACTTCAATTTTTTAAACCATAATATGATCTTAAAGGCTCAAATGTCATTAAAGATCTCCAAGATACAAGATTTTTCTTAAATCTAGCTCATATTAGCTATTAGATGATCAGCAGCTAACAGCTAACTCGCTAACTAGCCGCTAATATTCCTTATAAACGTGTTATAGCTAAACAGAATACAATTAACACACTTAAAGCCAAGCAGTCTGAAGGTGAATTTATTTGGGACAATGATTAGCTGTAGGTAATCACACAACACTTGTCTTCAATCTAGCTCAAATCAGCTATTAGAAGGAGCCGCAGCTAACGGCTAACTTGCTAACTAGCTGCTAATATTCCTTAAAAATGTGTAATATGTAAACAGAACAAATTACACTTAATGTAAAATCAGATTCAGGGTGCATTGCTTTTGGATTATGATTAGCTGTAGCTAAATTAGGATGTGTACTCGTACGTACAAGCAATTAGCATTTCTACAAACAAGATTTCTCCAAAAGTGTATCTTGTTGAAGGTTTTATACATCTAAAGCTCAATTTGTTCACTCTCTTAGACTAATGCTAGTCACATATATGTCTAAATATTGATTCCCAAACCCTTATAGCATGCACACTGCTCTAATACCTGCCTGTTATTACTCTCATATCAGTGAATCAATGGGCCAACTATTGCAAACCTGACAGAACAAAACAATTTCACTTAATGCTTTTTTACAATTAATACATTTTCTTGGGGACTGTATGAAAAACTTGGTATAGGTTATGTTCCATGTCCTGCAGACGTTACACAACATCATATTTTGTAATAACTAAATACTTTGACAATGAATACCTTTGTTAGGGTTAGGGTTAGACACATTATTGACATTTAGAGGGGAGTTGAACCGTGTGC